GTATTTTGAGTAGAGACAGGGTTTCACCATGTTGGCCAGGCTGGTCTCAAACTCCTGATCTCATGATCCGCCTGCCTCGGCCTCCCAAAGTGCAGGGATTACAGGTGTTAGCCACCGCGCCCAGCCTCTTCTATGGTGTTTTCATGCAGATTTCACAATGTCCCTGTGGTGGAGGAGGAGAATAAAGTCTCTCCATTTTACATATGAGTCAACTTGATACCCGCAGATGAAGAGATCATAGGGGTAAGAAAGGCAAAGTCAGGACTAGAACTCTTGGTCCATTGCTCTTTATTTTAAACCACAGTGATAGGATCACAGCAGAGAATAAGGAAATTAGCTTTGATACATCAAATCATCCAGACTGATGCCAGGGCTTCTGGATGAATAGGGAAAATGGCTAAGCACTAAAGCCATATAATCACCCCACCCAGTAGGAGGAGTTAAGATGATGAAGTAGAAAATGAAGGAATAGCCCAGTAGATAGAAAGGAAACCAAAACTGGTGAGAAGCCCAAGGATGCTGGGGTTTACCTCTGGGCTGATGATAAGAAAATGAAAGAGAAAGTCTATGCTTGAGTGCAACCAGGCCTTCCTAGAGGACAGAGCTCCCAGAGTCCCCCCTTCAGAAAGGTGAATCCCTGAAGACCTCTGGCTAACCCTCTCCCTGCAGGATTTTGACATTGCTGGGAACTTTGATCCCATGATCCCTGATGCAGAGTGCCTGAAGATCATGTGCGAGATCCTGAGTTCACTTCAGATAGGCGACTTCCTGGTCAAGGTCAGTGCTGACAAGGCTGGGAGGGCAAAGTTGGGCCTGGCCTCTCACAAGATCCTTGTGCAGAGGGACCAGTAGCCCAAGTGACCATGACTATCGCAGGTCATGTAAGAAAAGAGATTCCCTCCGCACTATGCATTGATTCCTTGCAGGTAAATGATCGACGTATTCTAGATGGGATGTTTGCCATCTGTGGTGTTTCTGACAGCAAGTTCCGTACCATCTGCTCCTCAGTAGACAAGCTGGACAAGGTAACAACCCAAGTACTTGACTTCTTTTCCCAAATCCCACCCTGCCTTGGGAAATGGAAAACAAGATTGAGAGAGAGAGGCGCATGCCTTTATACCCACCAGAGGAAGGTTAGCCCCAGGATGTAGGCTCATGGGCAGCTACTGCTCCAAGACTGTTCCCTGAGGACAGTACATACCTGCTCTGTGGTGCAGAAGCTGCGCAGAGGTCTCTGACTGGTGTCTGTCTGCCTAGGTGTCCTGGGAAGAGGTGAAGAATGAGATGGTGGGAGAGAAGGGCCTTGCACCCGAGGTGGCTGACCGCATTGGGGACTATGTCCAGCAGCATGGTGAGGAACAGAACCAAGCCTCCTCAGCAGCCATCCAACTGCCCTCAGTCCTAAAGTTGAAACTCTTCTGTGTATGTACGTAGGAGAGTGAGTGTGTATATGTATATGTACACACACATGTATGGGCAACTAGAGTCCAGGCAAGAAGATCAACCCCCCTTACCTTTTTTGTTTGCTTGTCAGCCTCACTCACAAGTCTGTCTCCCCAGGTGGGGTATCCCTAGTGGAACAGCTGCTCCAGGATCCTAAACTATCCCAAAACAAGCAGGCCTTGGAGGGCCTGGGAGACCTGAAACTGCTCTTTGAGTATCTGACCCTATTTGGCATTGATGACAAAGTGAGTCAAGTTGGGGATGGGATCCCTTCTGAGCTCTGGGGCTTCAGATCCCTCATCTTAATCTGGCACTGACCATGTTCTTATCTCCACAGATCTCCTTTGACCTTAGCCTTGCTCGAGGGCTGGATTACTACACTGGGGTGATCTATGAGGCAGTGCTGCTACAGACCCCAGCCCAGGCAGGGGAAGAGCCCCTGGGTGTGGGCAGTGTGGCTGCTGGAGGGCGCTATGATGGGCTAGTGGGCATGTTCGACCCCAAAGGGCGCAAGGTGCCATGTGTGGGGCTCAGCATTGGGGTGGAGCGGATTTTCTCCATCGTGGAACAGAGACTAGAGGTAGGTCCTACGGGGTGGGTAGAAGACAGTCTGAGCAGGTGGTGGCACCTAAGCTATCTGATCTCCAAGGGAGTGAGTGGTGCTGCTTTGGGTAGGGAACATCTCACAGAAATGGAGAAAAGATTATTGCTCTTTTTCACAGATTTCTACCCCATTATAGGTCAGTTTTATGGATCTTTAATCCGTCTTTCTCCACTAAATCCTCTGCTCTGGGTCTCTGCTTCCTTCAGGGCTGTCACAAACGTGGGCTGCTGTATCCAAGACTTAGATCTTCCTCATGATACAGAATACTTAACATTTTAGTGCCTTGTGCCAGGCACTGTGCTTGGTGCTTTTCATGCATTATCAAAATATAATTCTTACCACAGCCCGTGAGAGTAGCTAATTTTATTAATTGCATTTTCCAGATGAGAAAACTGAAGCATTATAGATCAAATAATTTGCTTAAGGCCATGAAACTTGTAAGTGGTAGAGTCAGAATTTGAATCCACGCGGTCTGACTCCAAAGTCTTGCCACTAACCACATTGCAATATTGTGTCTAAATGGGAAGCATGTGTCTGAGGCCCTGGGATCCCTCACATGGCTACCGTGACTCTCCAGCACCTAGAGTAACACCAAGGAAGCCTCTCGTGGCCTCAAGCCCTCCTTTGTTGCTGCTGGTCTTAAGTGGCTGGTTGCATTTCATCCTCTGGGAAATGCTCTGGCAACCTCCCCACGGTCTATGCCTTTTCTCTAGGGTGGAAACCACCCATTTCCCAGTTGAGATCATTCTTCCAGTAGGCATCTTACATTGTAAGAACTATGAAAATAGTTTTCCTGAAAAAGACAAGGGAAGCAGCAGCAGCATTCTCCTTTCCCCATACCCATATACACGCCTGTGCCCTGTAACTGAAGTGCGAGAGGCACAGTGTCATAAATGGGTAGATAGTAAGTGGGGACTAAAACTGCCAAGGGTGATCTAGTTGGGGTAGGCTCATAGTAGTACTTCTGTGTGAATGCTTTGATGGACCCTTAAGGTACTACATGGACCAGTCTGGGCAACATGGTGAGACCCTATCTCTACAGATTAAAAAAAAAAAAAAAAAAAGCTGCAGTGATCATGCCACTGCACTTCAGCCTGGGTGACAGAGACCCTGTCTCAAAAAAAAAAAAAAAAAAAGTACTACATGAAGATAAGTTTGAAGTTACTGTAAAAAAGCTACCTTTACTCTTACCCTAAGTTAGTTATTCTGACACATCCTATGTACAAGTTAGTTCAGTCCTCATATCTGCTAAAAGCTACCTTATGCCCAAGGTGCTAGATGAGAAGACAGGGCCCCTGCCCTGGTAGAGCTGAGTTGGGCCTGGTCTCAAAATCCTGACTAAAGCCTGCTTTGTTTGCTCCTTGAAGGTGTTAGCCCAGCTCTCTGACTCTTATCTGCCCCTTCCCCAGGCTTTGGAGGAGAAAGTACGGACCACGGAGACACAGGTACTTGTGGCATCTGCACAGAAGAAGCTGCTAGAAGAAAGACTAAAGCTTGTCTCAGAACTGTGGGATGCTGGGATCAAGGTATGGGAGGCAAGCCCCAGGGTGGCAGCAAACTTGAGTGTGCTGGGCACAAACTGAATAAAAGCTCACCCATAATGGATCCTGCCATTACTTCTCAAAAGTGGAGCTAAGAACAAGGTGCCAGCTTGGACACCCTCTGTCCCTGAGGACAGCAGAAGCCAGCCTTCCTCTTCTGCTCTTGTCCCCTGCAGGCTGAGCTGCTGTACAAGAAGAACCCAAAGCTTTTGAACCAGTTGCAGTACTGTGAGGAGGCAGGCATCCCACTGGTGGCTATCATTGGCGAGCAGGAACTCAAGGATGGGGTCATCAAGCTCCGTTCAGTGACTAGCAGAGAAGAGGTAAGGGAAGCGGGCAGGAAGGCTAAGGGACAGAGAATGTATGCCATTTTGGCAGGCCTATGCCCATTCAAGACCTGAGAAAAAGCCTGGCATTGATATTAGTACAACCATAAAAGACTTGAGAGCTTAACCTGTTACTGTAGTCTTAGTAGGGTGAGATCTCCGTCCCTGCATATACCTTATGTTTTGTTGGCTCCCCCAAGAGGCACACTCTAGCCTGAGGTGTTTAATTAGGTTCCTGCTCCCAGCTGAGACTGATGCCTAGAGGGCTAGAGGAAACTAGGCACTCGGGCAGCAGTGGAATGGAAGATGCTTATACCACCTTCTTCTCCCATCCTGGCCAGGTGAATGTCCGAAGAGAAGACCTTGTGGAGGAAATCAAAAGGAGAACAGGCCAGCCCCTCTGCATCTGCTGAACTGAGCAATCTATCAGAGGAAAGGAAGTGGGACTGGTACTATTTGAGGTTAAGACAAACTGCATATGTACTTCAACTGCTTTGCACTTTTCCGTTTCAGCAGGAAGACCTGAAGACTGGTCAGAACAGAGACTTTAATTTTTATTATGGTTATTTTATTGATTATTACTGGCAAAAATGGCCAGATACTACACCTTTTGCATACAAGGCCCTGGGGGCTTAGTCCAGTCTGTGCTCCTGGGCTACAAGGACCCAGCCTGAGATGGTCTCATCTACACGGCCTCGCACCAGTTGGAGCAGATGCCTCCCTACCAATTGCCAAAGGTCCAATAAAATGTCTCAACCTCAACCAGAGCCTGCGTGTCACTGATGCCTAGCCCCACCTTCCCCGGCAGACCAATGTAGGGATGGAAAAGGGAGAAAGACAGTAAACTTGTGACCCTGAGGTTCTTGTCTCCAGCGTCCACCCTGCGGCTTGGGAGCTCCTCCTCCTCGGGAGGCAGTCCCCGTAGGTACTCACCCACTAATTTGCAGCTTTCACCTGAGGGTCTGAGCGAAGCCCGGGCGGCGCACGTGCAGTGGATACCTCCACCCCCTTGGGAGGCGGGGTCGCGCTCAGAGCCAATAAGAGCTTGCGGGGTGGAGGGGTAGGGAAGCTTCCAGAGGCTGGTGGGGAGGAAGTTATAAAGAGGGTAGGAGGGGGCCAGCGGGAGGGCCATGCAGTCCAAGCGGGATTGTGAGGTAAGCGGCTGGCGACTTGGGGGCCGGCGTCGGAGCGGGGGTCGGCTCTAGGGACCCCAGTACCCACAGAAGAGGTGGGGGGTGGACTTGGCGATCCGCCATTCCAACCTTCCTTTCCCTCTCAGCTGTGGTGTGAGAGGGTGAATCCAGAGAACAAGGCGGCGCTGGAGGCGTGGGTCAGGGAGACAGGCATCCGCCTGGTGCAGGTGAACGGGCAGAGGAAGTATGGCGGGCCACCCCCAGGTACGGTAGTCCCAGCCCCTCTGCCTGTCCGGCTACACCAACCCCCTTTGGGGGAGGGGCTGCCCCAGCCTTCACTGTCAGGAACTGTAAACTACCCGGATTTATATCCCCCAGCAAAGGAGGAACTGTGGCTCCACGCCCACCCGCCCCGTCGAGGGAGGGGGCCAATCTCAAGGTGTACCTACTCTGTGCCAGCCCCTTCGTTAGCGCAGTCACCTAATTATGCCAACCACCCAGGGTACGGGTGTAAGCCCATTTCACAAACCTTGGTTCACATCGCTTCCCACCCCCGCGCGCTGGGTCCGTGGGCTCAGAATTCGAAAGCGTCGCCTGACGGTGGCCTTGCATACCCGCTTCCCACAGGCTGGGTGGGCAGCCCGCCGCCAGCTGGGTCAGAGGTATTCATCGGGCGGCTGCCTCAGGATGTGTACGAGCACCAGCTTATCCCGCTGTTCCAGCGCGTGGGTCGCCTCTACGAGTTCCGCCTGATGATGACCTTCAGCGGCCTGAACCGCGGCTTCGCCTATGCCCGCTATAGCTCGCGGCGCGGCGCGCAGGCCGCCATCGCCACGCTGCACAACCATCCGCTGCGGCCGTCCTGCCCGCTGCTCGTGTGCCGCAGCACCGAGAAGTGTGAGCTGAGCGTTGACGGCCTGCCGCTGAATCTGACCCGCAGCGCGCTGCTGCTCGCGCTGCAGCCGCTGGGTCCCGGCCTGCAGGAGGCGCGGCTGCTGCCCAGCCCCGGACCGGCGCCTGGGCAGATCGCTCTGCTCAAATTCAGCTCTCACCGGGCCGCTGCCATGGCCAAAAAGGCCCTGGTGGAAGGTAGGCTGTGGCCGGGGGCTGGTTGGGGCCAAACGCGTTCTGCCAGGCACTTTACACTGAGCATAGCTGTTAAAGTTACAAGATCTTGGAGTCAAACATGCCAGAATTTGCAACCCTTTACTATTTGATCTCAGAGTTTTAAAACTTCCAATGGTGCTACCACCACCACTTACCTAAATTGGTAGCACTTCCCGAGCATTATCTCCTGACTTAATCCTCAACATTCCCCCACACCCACACCGCATAATAGGCACAGGACCCTGGAGCTGTGAGGAAACTGTTAGAGAAATTGATTTGCTCAAGGGAACCCAACTGAGCCTTTTACTATAGTATTTGTTTCCTCAGACGGTTGTGAGAATTAAGTAACATAATGGGTGTATGGTATTTAGCATACTGACTGACTTACAGCAACTTTTGGCAGTAAAGATTAGCCATTATGATGGTTATGAGGCAGACAAAGCCTGCATTAACCAGTACTTCTCCAAGGAAACTTGTAAGGTAGCAGTTGTGTTATACTCCCTTTGCAAATAATGGAGCCTGAAGGCTTGTCTTTTCTTACCCATGGTCACACTACCAGGAAATGCGAAGGCTACACATTACAGGACTGTGTAGCTCCAAAGGGCTCACAACCTGGAGGCTTGGGCCCAGGGTTTGGACCTGCCCTTATCTTTACCTTTTTCCTGCAGGGCAGTCACACCTCTGTGGAGAGCAGGTGGCTGTGGAGTGGCTCAAGCCAGACCTGAAGCAGCGACTCCGCCAGCAGCTTGTGGGTCCCTCCTTGCGGCCCCCACAACCAGAGGGCAGCCAGTTGGCCTTGGCAAGGGACAAGTTAGGGTCCCAAGGGGCTCGGGCTACCCTGCAGTTGCTGTGCCAACGAATGAAGCTGGGCAGCCCTGTGTTCCTCACTAAGTGTTTGGGCATAGGACCTGCTGGCTGGCACCGCTTCTGGTATCAGGTGGTGATTCCTGGGCATCCGGTGCCTTTCAGTGGCCTCATCTGGGTTGTGCTGACCCTAGATGGCCAGGATGGGCATGAGGTGGCCAAGGATGCTGTGTCTGTTCGGCTGCTGCAGGCACTCAGTGAGTCTGGGGCCAGCCTCCTGTGGTCTGCTGGGGCTGAGGCAGGTACCATGGTTAAACAGTGACTCCATTCTCTCTCCACAGGCAGCCTGAATGGGTAGGCAGAGCCTGTGTCAGGCCCCAGCCCAGCAGGCCTGGGTGGCCACTATCTGACTCCCAAAGGTAGGGAGAGGCATGGGCCCAGGCCATCAGCCTCCCTGCTGGGACAGGGACCTACGGCACCTGGGGCAGCTTAGGTTTGGCTTAAGTTGTGGTGAGGGGCCTTGCTCTCCCCCTCCCAGCCCAGGGTCCAAGCTACCCTGTGGTCTTCCATGGCCATTCCTTGTCCCACACCCACCCGATCATACCTTCCCCCCTCTGCCATAGCTTAGCATGAATCTTCTTTATTGTCCTGATTTGTCTTCTTTGTTGGTTTTTATTTGCGGGGAGGGGCAGCTGAGCCACAGGGGTCAGAAATTCTGCCCTTTGGCTCCACCACATGGCATTCGGGTTTTGGTTTCTTTCTATGCTGGTTGTATTTATATTAAACCCCTGGTTAGTATATACTTGTGTCTGTGCTATCTTGCCCTAGCTTAGAGTTTGTCTTATACTGATAGAGTGAATAGCTGCTACAGGGCAAGTACTTCCTCATATCAGCGCTTTGAATGCATCTTCTTGTGCTACACTGTAGGGTATTATAAATATATATCCAGTCCAGGCGTGTTGGCTTTTGCCTGTAGTCCCAGCACTTTGGGAGGCTGAGACGGGTGGATCACCTGAGGTCAGGAGTTCGAGACCAGCCTGGCCAGCATGGAGAAACCCTGTCTCTACTAAAAATACAAAAATTAGCCTGGCGTGGTGACGGACACCTGTAATCCCAGCTACTTGGGAGGCTGAGGCAGGAGAATCACTTGAAACCCAGGAGGCGGAGGTTGCAGTGAGCCGAGATCATGCCATTGCACTCGAGCCTGGGCAACAGGAGCGAAACCCTGTCTCAAAAAAAAAAAAAAAAAAATTCATATCCAGCCAGGCACGGTGGCTCATGCCTGTAATCCCAGCATTTTGGGAGGCCAAGGCAGGAGGATCACTTGAATCCAGGAGTTCAAGACCAGCTTGGTCAACATAGTGAAACTCCTAGTCTCTACCAAAAAAAAAAAAAATCACAAAAATTAGTCGAGCATGGTGGCACATGCCAAGTCTCAGCTACCAGACAGGCTGAGGTGGATCACTTGAGCTGGGGAGGTCAAGGATGCAGTGAGCCATGGTCAACCCACTGCACTCCAGCCTGGGTGACCGAGTGAGATCCTATCTCAAAAAAATATTTTTTGGCCAGGTGTGGTGGCTCGTGCCTGTAATCCCAGCACTTTGGGAAGCAGAGGCAGGTGGATCATTTGAGTCCAGGAGTTGTAGACGAGCCTGGACAACACAGACCCGTTTCTACCAAAAAAAATTTAAAAATTAGCCTGGTGTGGTAGTGCACACCTGTAGTCCCAGCTATTCCAGAGGCTGAGGTGGAAGGACACCCTGAGCCTGGGCACATTGAGGCTGCAGTGAGCCATGATCAAGCCAGTGCACTCCAGCCTGGATGACAGCAAAACCCTGTCTTTTAAAAAAATAATATCTTCTCTGGGGATGCAGCTCAATAAGCAAGACTCTTGCCTGGTGAGGACCTGTCTTGAGATTCAATTCATTCCCTCAGTCACTGTCATCCCCAGTCTCCTCCTCTTCTTCCTGAGCCATGGAGTCTTCTCCCTCTTCCCTCAGTCCTGCGAAGAAGTCATCAGTGCTCCAAGTCTTGCTGCTCAGAGCCCGCAGTGGTCCTCCCTTTTTTTTGCGCCGACGGTAGTCATCCACCACCACAGCTCGCAGCTGGGCCATGTCCCAAAACTTGAGGCGCTGGTCATGGCCGCTACTGGCCAGGAAGCGGCCACAGTGGGAAAGGGCCAGCTCCTCCACAGGCTCCCCAGGGTGCTGGCCCACACTGCCCACCACTCGGTTCGGTAGGATGTTCACAGCCCTGGGCAGGGAAACAACAGTGTTGAGTACTGGCTAACTGGGTCTGCCCTTCCTGTGACCTAAGGGCTGTCCAGGCTTCCCTCACCTGATGACTCCATCAGTGGAGCCAGTACACAGCAGACTCTCAGTGACTGGAACCATGCAGTCAATAGATTCAGCTCTCACGGCAAAGCGGTCACTTGTGGCCCCAAAGCCATTCCAGTTGAAGAGGTAGATGGTACCTTCACTGGAGCCACAGGCCACCTTCTTCCCACACTGCAGGGAAATAGGGAAAACGATGTGGAAGCTGCCTTAGACTAAGCCCCCAGCATACACCCCTCCATCCCACCATACCCAGCTATACTTTCATAAGGGTGACAGAGGTCAGATCCCCAGACTGAGGCTCTGAGAGCAGCTCAAACCGACGCCTCTTAACATTGAAGATTCCAAGGCAGCCATCCCCACTGTAGAGAGTAGAGCAATAGGCTTAGACACAAGGTCCATGTGAGGAAGACATTTCACAGGGAGAGGAGGGGAGGCAAGGCAGATTTGAGGTTGTACCTGGCGGTCAGCAGCAGCTTCTTGGCTGGATCCAGAGCCATGTCTGCGATGTACTCTTCATGTTGCCTCATATCCATTAAGGGGCCTTCCTTCCGCTGGTCCCAGAGACGGATACCACCCGTGTCATCCCCAGTGGCCAGAACATTCTCATCCACCAGCAGAAGACTGTTGATGGGGGCACTAGAGACACAGATGTAGAACTTCTTGGAGCATCTCTGTCCCAGTGGGGACCTCCTGGTCCTTACCCTTCACCTCCATGCACATACACAGAATTGGCTGTTCTCCTTACCCATGAGCCTTGGAAACACGTCTTTCTAGTCGGCCCTGCTCCACATCTAGAACATGGATGGCTTTGTCCTTGGAGACAGTAACAAGCTCTGGGGAAAAGGTGCCCAGGTCATGGTGCTGCTCACTGCTCCCTTCCACCACATTGCTGGTTGTCTTCCCCAGTACTCACTCTGCCCATCTTCAGAGAAGGCCACAGCTCGGCAGGCCTTGAGATGGTGACCCGATGACCATAGCTCCTTGGTTTCTCCCTCTTGGCAAGAGTAGGAAAAGCTGGGGAGAGGGGAAGGAGAGTAAATGACTCCAGACCCATCCTGGGTTGCACTGAGTGCAGAGACCAACTAGACAGAGCAGCCTTCCCACCTACCTAGGAGTTCCTGCTTCTACACCTCCAAGCCCAAAGTTTACCATCTCATTTCTCCATTTTCAGTGAGTTTGAAATGTTAGGTCTTGCTTTTTTCAATATATATTAATTCAAGGTATATTTGCTCAACATTTCTTTGTGATCCCACCCAACCCCTCTTTATCATCTTTGAAAGCCCCAGCCTGGACAACGATTGGGTCTGGACCACTGTGAAGGAAATATTTCTTACATCAATGACAAAAAACCAGCCCCAGAAGTTAGAAATGTAAAAATCAGTACGGTAGAGCAGGCTCTTGCACTTCAGGTCTGCAGGAGCTACAGAAAGCCACAATTACAGTACATTGAGAGTACGTGCTAAAAAAGAGGCAGGATCAAAATGGAGGCGGGGAAGAGGCACCAGCCTGTAAACAACTTTGAGGTGAGTACTGTTTACAGAATACTCCCAGTGCCTGCCTCAGAGCAGATCCTCAAAAAGGGCAGAATGAATACATGCTTAATTGCCAGTGAGTTCCAGGTGGGCAGAACTGAGCCTGCTCATTTTCTCTGTCCCAGTGCCGAACATGAAAAAGTAGCTTAATAAACATTCACAGATTGAATGAATACTTGGGAAGGGAGAAGAGAGCCCTGGAAAGCTAAGGTGGTGACATGTGGGTTGGATCATACAAGAGTAGAGTTTACCTGGCCGAGAGCAAGGGCTAGATACTGGAGGCAGCAGAGATAAGGAATGAGGAGGGTTCCTTGCAGCAGGAGAGTAGCATGACTAAATCTGGAAAGATGGGCTGGGGTGGGCATGAGACCACGTGAGCCAAGTAGAAGTTTGAATTTAATCCTCCGAAAAGGAACCTCTTCACAATAGTCATGGCTGAGGGTGGGGAAGGGAAGAACCAAGAATTTTCCTCCAGAACCTTTTTTAAGACAAGGGAAGCAACAAAGTTGTGTGCAATGTGAAGAAAGGTGGATGTCTAGGGCAACTCCCAAGTGCCTGGCACCATAAATATGGATAGTAGTAGAAGGGAACTGTAAAATTGCACTGTACTGCAAATTTGTCCCCTCTGCAAGGGTAGGTATAATTCCCCTTCAAAGATGAAAATACAGAAGTTAACACACTCAAGGCCATTACAGCTAACGGGGGGCGTTGAGGTTTAAGTTCATTAAGTAAATCTGATAAGCACAGCATCTTCAAGTTTTCCACTGCCTCTAACTTGTATCTTTTGTTCAAAGTCAAACACGTATTGAGCACCTACCCTAAACTAGAGGCTGGAGATAAAATAGAGAACAAAACCGACGACAGATTACACTCCAGAACAGTGTTTTTTCACATTCTACTCATATAACAGACTGGTAAGCTACAATCAGCATTTTGTGTACATGCACACAATAATAGAATAAAATCAGAAATTGTATCAGCATATATAATGTAAAAGGTATTTCTCTGAGAGGCAAGGTCAAAGACATTTGAAAAACATTAGTGAAGGAGACAGCATTCAAATAATTACACAAACGGATATATGGTTACCAACCATTCATTACTAAGGGAAAGGTACCATGTCACCTGGTGTCATGGCAGCATCTAATAGGTAACCAATTTTAGTCTGGGGATAGAGGAAGAGGGAAGAGATCCTGGGAACTCAGAGATAGTAGGTAAAAGTGAGGAGAAAGGAGTTTTCCGGACAGAATAGCATGTGCAAAGGGGCTGAGGTTTCAAGATTTTTTTATTTTTATTTTTCTGAGACGGAGTTCTGCTCTTGTTGCCCGCTGGAGTGCAATGGCACCATCTCAGCTCACTGCCTCCCAGGTTCAAGCGAGTCTCCTGCCTCAGCCTCCCGAGAAACTGGGATTACATGCACCCGCCACCACACCCAGCTAATTTTTCTATTTTTAGTAGAGACGGGATTTCACCATGTTGGCCAGGCTGTTCTCCAACTCCTGACCTCAGGTGATACCCCACCTGGTCTCCCAAAGTGCTGGGATTACAGGTGTGAGCCACCACGCCTGCCCCAAGATATATTTTTAAAAGGTATGGATGAATGAGCACAGATGGTCAGGGCGTTGAAAGCGGGATTGAGAAATTTGTACTAAATCCTAAAAGCAGACCATTGAAGGGTTTTAATCAAGGGAGTGTCTGCTCAGATTTATGTTGTTTTCTTTTTGGTTTTTTTGTTTTTTTGTTTTTAAATGGAGTCTCTGTCGCCAGCCTGGACTGCAGTGGCGCGATCTCAGCTCACTGCAACCTCTGCCTCCTGCGTTCAAGTGATTCTCCTGCCTCAGCCTCCCAAGTAGCTGGGACTACAGGCCTGTGCCACCATGCCCAGCTAATTTTTGTATTTTTAGTAGAGACGGGGTTTCACCATGTTGGCCAGG